ATTTTTAAAATTGTTTGGGAGAAAATTAATATTAATTTTAAAGTCAATGTTATCTTAATAAATTTAATTAAATAATTAATAAATTAAATATTATTTTTATTTTAAAAAAAATTAATTTGTATCTTTAAAATAAATGTTAAAAAAATTTTACAGATTATTATGAAATTAATTTTCTTAAATTATATAATACCGACGTGAATGATACATTTTTAAAATTGTTTGGGAGAAAATTAATATTATAATATATAAACATTTTTTAAAAATACTGATTGTAAATAAAATAATAATAATTTAATGGAGATTGTTTCTGTCTGAATTCGAAAGGTGGGCTTCTAGAGGAACAGGAAGGAGAGCAAAAAGCGCCATACGTTTTCAACATGTTTACATTTTTTTCCAATGGGAACAGTGCGGTATAATTTACTCCATCTCCATGGAAGCCTCCTCTTTAAGGTCTATTGGTAAACGGCTGTACAAGACAAGAATGATGTACTTTGATTTCTTCGGGGATTTAAGGCATTACTAACTTGAAGAAATTCATATTTTAGGAGTTAATTAATTATAAAGGTTAATTAATGGAGGTGGAACCAACCACCAACAATAAATGATCCTTTTTTTTTAAGGCACTTAAATAACAGTATTTGATCTTGTACGTACCAATTGTTAATATTATATAAAACTTTGAACTTCTAGATTAATCAGTTGTTGGGTAGGTAAACAAAAAGTAAACGATTGCAGGTAATAAAGAATTACAACTAACATTAATTCAGGGCTTCAAGCAAGTCTTTCTCTGTTCAACGTTGTTTGTTTATTATTATTATTATTTTTGGAAAGTGCATGCAGGTTAACAACAGAAATTCAAATCCAAAGAAAAATAGACATAAGAGAGTCGGGAAAACCGTTAGCTAGTGGAAGAGGAGAGAGCGAAGCAAGGCGTCCGGCGGCGGTGTATGGAGGTAGTCAGGGACAGAGCCAGACTTTTAGGTGAGGGGGGCAAAATCTAAAAAAATTTTAGAATTATAATAAGTTTATATCAATATAATTTATATTAATTTTTAACTATTAATTATATAATTTGTTAGTAAAATTATGTATATTCTTATCTTGTATTTAGATTGAAGGGAAAAAAGAGAAAAATTTTCCCTTCCCTCTTCTCGTTTAATAAATAACTCAATTAAATGAAAAAATAAAGTCAAGAAAAATTTTCCTTTTTTGTTAATTTTTTTCAATCCAAACATATTATTAGTCATAACTCTTGAATTTGATTCATAATTTTTATATACAAAAAAATTACATCAATTTTTATATTAATAACTAAATTTATGGGTAAATGTACTACTTATAACATATATGCCAAATTCTAAATTAATTATATATATTTAATTATTTTTGAATAACATACAATTCAATATCCTTAAACAAATAATACAAAATAATAGGAAAAATGTTAGTAAGTTGAATCGAGAAAAAATTATTAAAAAATATTTCAAAATTATGTTATTTAAATAAACTCTAATTAAAATAAATAGTCTAAATTAGCATATTTTAAGGGTAAGTATGAAGAATATATTAGTATTTTTTGTGATATTTTATTAGAATATCCTAATTTTGAAGTATTTTTCACTTTATTTTTGTATAAGTCTAATAAATAAATACTAATCTCATATAAAATACAATTTCTTTTTTGATTTGATTACAAATATTAATGAATTTTTAATTAGAATATCAAATCTGATTGTTGAATTGACAACATATAAATTGTATAAAAAATTACAATTAATATAAAATCTATTTTCATATCCAAATAAAATTATTTGTCTTAAGAATTGATTATAAAAAAAGAAATGGTCCCTTTACCTAGCTCCTAAATATTTTTTTTTAAATTCAAAAAGATCCTTATAATTCAAACATCAAAAACAAATTTCGTACTAATTAAAAATAAATGTTCTACATTAAACATTTTTCAAAAGTTTAGGTTGTCCTATGGTAGCTCCGCCCCTGGAGGTAGCCAATGGCTGAGGCGTGTACTACAAAGGCGGCTTCGTCGTGGCTGCTTCTAGAGAAAGGTTAGCAGTACGGATTTATCGGTTTTCATACCGCTTGCTCTCTGTTTGGTGTTTTCTGAGTTTCTAGATCGATATAGAGTGTTCTAGATTTTGGGCCGAAGTGGGAATAGATCTATTGACTATTTGACTTAACTATGCACAAGCCCAGCTCAACTTTTGCAAATTTTGAACAGTGAAAAAAAACTTTTGCGAAGAGATATAGGCCCAATAGTAAGCCCAGGTTCTGATTCACAGTTAGGCCGCGACCCATTGTTACCCTCCTAAGTCCTAACCTCCTTTCAGGCAAGGGCCGCGTAATTTAGTTTTTTTTTTTTATTTTAAATATATTACAATTATTTACAGGTTAATGGAAGAATAAAAAAAAAAAATTTTTTTAGGGTTTGAACGTGCAATTTACATGAAGTAAACAATCTTAACCCATCCAACGCCATTAAGACGGAGCGGGCCATTCCAATTTAGTTAGTTTAATTATTTTGTTTATTTTTTATGAACTATTATTTTCTTTCGTTGAAATTTATGATGAAGCACGAATTACATGAAACCATTCAGTACATTAGGCCTTGAATATGAAACTTTTATAAAATCTTGACATTTCCTAACCACATATTTGGGGTGAAGATTTTCTTCATTTCTCTCACAATTAATTCCTCCAACATTAAGTCTTCTTAAGACTCAAGCCACGAATTTCTTTGGTTTGGAGCTAATGATGGAATGAGATAAAATCTTATAGTGATTAGAAATCAAGAATAGTTATAATTTGTAAGTATTTTTAAAAAAAAGAATCTTTTAAAATTAAAACTAAAAAATTTAGTAGTTAAAAAGCATTTCATAATTGTACGCAATTCACAATTTTATCCTTGAATTTGAAAAGAATAACATCCTTAACCTTTAGCATTATGAAGGCACTTAAAATAGCCTGAAAAAGAGGACAAAGAAAAAATGCTAGGCTTTTGTGGGATAGATTGATATGGTTATGGTGTCGGTATATTCTTCATGAATAGGCGGTAATGTGTAGTCGCTCCTGTTTCAATTAATATTGTCTTTTTAAGAGTTGGAATGGAAGCTATTTAGATCCGGTGATAATAATATTCATGTTATGGGTAGTGCACTAATCGAATTTGGCAATTCATTTTCCATTTCTATTATCTTCACAGTATCCACAAATGAAAATGTAGTTTCAATCCCATCCATACCTAAACACACAGCTCAACTAGAAATTCCAGAACTAGAACTCTTAGCCTCTAATTTGTGTCTCCCAGTAGCTCTAATGTAACGAAAAACTGCAACCAGGAAAACCGTAACTAGGCACCCAAGGATCACACCACCACCAGCAATGGACTTGTCCACAGAACTATGATGCATTTCCAAATGGACCTCCTGTCCTTTCCCACTTCCGTCAACAGAAGACGTGGGATCTGCACTAGTACCGCTGCTTTCTTCCACAGACTGCAGAATAGCTCCGGTTTCGGGGGCCAACAATGGTGGATTACTGGAAGGTTTGACCACTTTGTGTCGGTGCTTTCCCAGTTTCCTTGCTATAGGAGCTTCGGCATGGTATGGTTTCCCGTAGTTGGATGGGATAGATGCTGGTAGGGTATTAGTATTAGCCATGGCTACACCTAAAAAACCGTCTACCAAGATCAAGCAAACAAGAAGATATGGGGGCATTTTGATGAAAAGATGGGAAATTGGGAATTGTCAAATTAGAGATGCCTAGTTTTTGGTTTGTTGTGCCACATTTGAGTGTAGTATATAAAAGAGTTTGCAAAGGAAGTGAATCCATAAGCGTGTGGGTTTGATGGAAATTTCCCTTTGCAGGATTCCAAGCATACAGAATAAATTACACAATTTCTTTACTCTGTTTTCTTGGAGTTGTCTGTTTGCTGAGAAAAGTTTCAATACAGCAATTTGACATATAAGTAAATTTAAGGACATCTTAATATAAAACTTGTGACATGACATGTGAAACCTGTGTCATGGTGAAAAAGTCTTTTGATATGTTAGATTTTTATTAATTGATGATACTATTGACATGATATTCTCATTGCACTAAAGAATTTTTCATGTTGGGTGGGGAGATTGAGGGAGATACACATGGAAACATTAGGATGGTAGAAAATACAACAAAGATATCCATAAAGGGAGCAGGCATCTCTATTATGTTTATTTGTTTAGTTGTGCTGCTCTGGTTCCTATGAATATCAGGATTTTAAAGGTGAAGATGATTAGAAGTTGCTTGATTTGTACCAATCAGGTCGGCATCTTTGGTCCCAAGAAAGTTAAAGTTGGTTGCCCTGTTCCTTAGAGAAAGAGAATCGATTGCCATGGAAGACAAGGAGAGAGCCTAGAACATTAAATGAAACTCATGGATTAAAATTCCTACTGGATCTGTATGCACAACATGTTTGATGTTGTTGGTTATATATTCTAAGACAATGATGTCCTGAATATGTCTCTGTTAACAGCAAAACATGCATCATTAGGCAATTCTCAGTACAGGGGAACTAACCATATTTTTCCTGCCTAAATTCCAATCATGCGTGATGCATGACTCTTAACAGCAAAGGTCAGGCAAAAAGATAATATCTCAAAAAGTTCAAACCAAGTACCAAAATCTGTTTTTTTACAGATCCTTAATATGATTTCCTACTGCCAAGGCATCCAAATCAATTAAGAATCGTTTCAGCCAATAATTTAAATTGTCATTGAGAACCGACGAGTAGGGCTAAGTTTTAAGAGTCAGAGCCAACCTTGAAAGGAAATGAACTTCCAGTACAATTTAGGCTTTGATATAATGTGATATTTTTAGGCAAGTACACACATCATAAAACATAAAAGGGATGCTGGATATATAGGATAACATTTGTTATCCTTTATTAATACGTTTTAAAATCATAAATTTTGATAAACTAGATAGTATTAATAATGGATTAAATCACTACATTCCATCTTCATCTAAGAAGGAAATTCTATAACAATAACAATATCACAAGTTGATTACTTTTTTATAAAAGAAAAAAGGTTTATACGAAACACAAAAAAGTATCATACTTCCTTATAAGTCTATTTTACATACCAAACTGCTCTAATATGGTTGATTTGTTGTTTCAAGAGAAGAGAAAGAGGTCTAGGGATCAAAATTTATCTTCCATGGCATCCCAAATATATCCAAGAAGAGATAAAATTTTCAAAAAAAAAATAAATAAATAAAAAAACAAAAGGAATTCCCTTGGAAATTGTAAACCAAAGTCTGCGGTGGGTGCTGCAAAAGATTGAGACAGTAATGGGGAAGACAAAATTCTTAGGCTGGCAAACAGAGCCACTAATGTAGTAAAAGAAATCTGCCCTTTGCATGGGGAACAACCTGAGGGTTTTGAGGAGACGACAGCAGGGTCAGAATAGATTAAGAAAGTTCAAACCTACTTGTTTGCTGGAGATGCTCTGCCAGCTCGTAGAGCGGTGATTAATTGTCAAACAAAATCAGGCTAACCTGTTGGTTAGTTGCAACTGGGGACACTGACTACCAATTAATTGTTTCAATTTTCAGTTTAAATTTTCTTTATTAATTTTTGAAATATAAAACAAAAATGATTGAGTACAATACTTCGTTTCAATATACTTTTATACAATCTCACATAACATTAATGAGGAGATGAGTGATTATAGGAGTGATTGTTTTAACTATTTAAAATCAATCATGTTGAACTATCTATTTTAATAAAATAAATAAGATTAATTAAATCGTAAATAACAATTATTAATAATTAAATATCAATTATATATTATGCCTAAATAATTTATAAAAACACCCCTTATAAAATAAATAACATATATCTACTCATTTCATATTATCTCACATTGTTAAAAAATGAAATCATACACCCCCTTACTTCATCACCCTGGAAAAGGTCAAAAAAAGAAAAAAAAAGAAAAAAAAAGTTTCCCGTACAAGTTTATCTGGGCCAAAAAGGATATTTATAACTTTATCTGTTTGAGATTTCAATGGGCTCTCATGGCCCAATTCATGGTTTCGATGGACTTATTCTTACAAAACCCGTACGCTGAGTCACTAGTTACAGTTCTTCGTCTTCCCCCGCTCCCCGAGCTATCCAATTCTTCACAGTTTCTGTGCAATCCTCAAAATGCCCATCTCAATTCCCACTCCATTTCCATGGCAACCTCTCTCGTTTCCAACGTCACTGCAATCATCTCCCAGTCTCCTCTTTCTCCGCACAAAGCTCTCTCCCCATTCCCTTTCCAGGCCACCTTCCAGCACCAGCACCATTGTCCGCATGGGAGGCGGACCCAGAACGTACCCAGGTGGTGTCTCCAAGTGGCAATGGAAACGGATGCAGGCCAAGAAAGCCAAGCAGCTTCTCAGGGCCCGACTTTTCCGCGAGCGCCAAATCTACGAGATGCGCAAACGTGCCCAACTCAAGGCTGCCGTCTCTGAGTTCGAGCGTCCCTGGGTGGTTGTTCAAAAAGCTCCTAATCTCTTTTCTGTCAGCGCCGACGAGGAACTCAAGGTGTTGTCGGACAGGTTTCAGAAACCTGGCGGGTTCGATATGTGGAGCGAGAGAGACGGTCCGAAGCTGTTTGAGACGGTTGAGAAAAAGAATGGTGTCAATTGGAGGAGGGTGGATTCTGCGCATGTTGGTTTTGATAGGAAACAGAGAGAGGAGGAGAATCCCATGATTCATGGAAGCGGTGGTAGGATCAAGAACTTATATGTTTGATAAAAAATAAAAAAAAAAAGGATTTAACAGCACAATAGGAATGATTCTCAAAAATGTCCAGATGGGAAGGAAAAATGCAGAATTTTGGTAATCTTCTTTGGCAAAATTTCTTAATTATTGGTAAAATTGTTTTAACTTTGCCATTGATGAGATTGAGATCATTATTAAAAGCTTGTATGTATTGTATATTGAAACTTCTATTGCATGCTCAAGTTGTTGAGTGGAAAGACTGACCATTTATCAACAACCACTTCTACTTTGCAGCACTTCTTTGCATGCTATTCATTTCATGGCTGCTGACTTTGGTATCATTAACAACTTGACAACATTGTTGGGCTACATTTACTTTGTTGAATAAAGCAATTTGATTGAATGTTGGGGCAGTCCAGGCTTATATCATCTGCACTGCTTTTTAATGAATTGAGTAGAAGCTCATTAAACCTGCACGGTTTTAACTGACTGGAATTGAAGGATTTCCGTCTTTTAGGATCAAATGACAAATATTCTGAATTCTCTCTCATATTGTTATTGAAGTCTAGTTGTTCTTTTTTCTGTTTAATCTTAACAGAAAAAGGCAGTGGTCTTAGGTCTGGTTTTTAAATGAAAATTCTAGGGTCTTCTCATAAAGTAGTATTGGATGTAAAATCTCTAGATGGCTACTCAAATAAAGATTTCATTGCACGGGCTCTTTTAATAGCTGCCAATACTTAAATTGTTTTACAGGCAGTGCCATCATAAACTCCAAGGAAAAGGGTATGTAGATACATTGTTAAGATGATTTTGTCTATTGCTATACTTGCTAAAATGACAGTTTAGATGTATATATTAGAAATTTTCAATGTCATGTGTTGTGACTTTGTGACTGATATGTAAGGCAGTTACCTGGCATCTAGTTTCTTCGAAACAGTGTGAGACAGTCTGAGGCTCATTTATTGGCAAGTGTACCAGTAATTGTTTCATATTTGTGGTGGATATTCATATTATAGAAGAGGAAAGTAATGTAGATTGGCACGTGTTGTGTGCAGTGATGTAGGATATGACCTCTGACATCTATGCTCACTGCTCAGCCTGCAGCTTTGTTATAATGGTTGGTGACTAGCTCTTGATCTTTAAATGATTGAAAACCACTTGTTCACATGGTAGCATTAGTGCAATTAATGATGTTTGCACCACAACTTGCTGATCAGATAGAGTAGAGAGCTAATATCGTCCTCCATATTGGTGTTTAATAACTTTGAATATCCATGTTTTAAACTTTAGTGTCTTGCTTGATGGTGAAACATTTGTCTAAACTGAGACGTCTGAAGATATTTCCAGTAGAAGTTACATAAGCAGGTCTATAGTATGTGTTGAACTTTTCCTTTTTGTCCTTTCTGAATGTCCATGTTTTAAATTTTATATGTTTGCTTTTTTGTGATAAGAAAAATAATTATTCATCCAAAAATAGAACTAACAAGTTTGGATGTTACATAGAGATTTGTACCAGATAGGGCCTGAAGTTATTACTTTGTTATCTATCACTGGATCTTAATGACATATATTCTTAATCTAACAGGTTCCTTAGGGTCAATCTAAAAGCTCTGTAAAGCACACTGATTGGAAGTACAGATTGGATTGTTATAATCTTAACACTTAGCAAATGGCACAAATTATTTTTCTTTGATGATTTAAAGAAATGTGCTAAATATAGACTTGATATTTGTTTCTACTGCAAGAGAAACTTGTTGCTTTCCTAAATCCTAATAGCATTAAAATAATACCAGGCAGGCTTGGATCTGTAATGCAGTGCTACTACTGTTTTTTAGGGTCTGCTTGAATTAGCTTTTTCATGTTCTTCTATGCTATATATCATTTCTGAAACCATCTTTTGCTCACACTGCCTTTGGCAGCCATATGAGTGAATTCCATTCTGCATACCATCTGGAGAAGCCACCCAATGAAGTAGCATCGATAAGAAACTCTTGTTCCATTTTCTTATGAAGTTCAAGGTGCTTCTGCTATCCAACCTGAGATAGGTCCTGTAATGATGAACATCATGCAAATATCGAAAGTGTTTGACATGGTTCTTCAAATATTGATTTGAAAATGATTTGAGGTGACTGGCTTCTTTAAGATATAAATGCAGTTTGTTTGGATCTACATGATAAGCCTTAATGAAATGATTTCATTTGATGCTTTCTTGAGCTAAGGAGCTATTTTTTGACTGGCAGATATTTCTCTATCGTAGAAGCAAACACGCACACTGATGCCAACACAGGACAGATACACAAGTCTTGAAGAATACACTGGCACAATCAAACTTCAAGGCACTGAGAAAAAGGTTTCATCCTCAGAGAAAGCAACAATCACTTGATTGGCACAAACTGGTGAGGTTTAATTTGCTCGTACCTGAAAAAATATATTCTGCCATCAGAATCAGATCCTTGTTGTCCTTGGCTTCTATGCTCCAAGGAAGGAAATTCTGCAGAGCCCGTGGCACTGGTAGGTGTTGGTTATATTCCACTTGAAAGTTATTGACTTTATCTCTTGGTTATTTTCAGAATGATAATCACTCTCTTTGTCAGAGGTCAAACTGATAAAAGATAATCATGCTAGAAGCACTATAAGCTCTTCATTATGCATCCACAATTCCATTGTCAACACGGTCAATCCTCATTTGAGACTATTACCTAACATACTCCTTTTCCTCCTAAGACACAAATGCTTTAGTGGGCTGTTGCACTTATCTCCTGCAACCCACTGAATCTACAATTGATGGATGCTATCCTTTATCTATACAGCAACTTATACCCTTAGAAATCTTAGGATGGAGATTTTTCAACGTTATCACACTTGCATTTTGCTATTTGTCAACCTGTAACCACACTCAATGAACATTTCTAGTGCCAACAATTAAAAGCTCTGGGTATTGTGAAACTGCCTCACTTGTTTAGCAATATTGCTAGTAAATCATTTTTCCATACATGAGAAAATTATTGTCTCTAATGATTGCTCTCAAGAGGGTGTCTACACTTACAAGAGCGTAAGACTCCAAGTTAGAAGTCTCAAGTTTGAATCTTGAAATGGGTGTGAAGGGATTTGGGAAAGGAAAGGATTATCCCTTGTTTTATTTTTGTCGGCATCAGATGTGACTTAAAAAAGAACATTGTCTAATAATTTATCTGAAAACTGTTGGTGTTAGTGTCTTTAAACATGATCTCAGAAATGGACATGTCACATGTTGATGATAAATTGTTGCGGATCCAGAAAATTTCTAATTTTCCAAGGATACATTATTTTGCTGGGTCTAAGTTCTTACCAAGTGTGATTTGACAGTGTTATTCAGTGTGGTGGGTGCTGTTTGCTGCAGTGGATATGGCTGCTGCTGAAGTGCCAAAGGTAAGAACTTTTATTGCTTTGATTAGTGGATGTAACAGGCTGAAGACGTAGATTCCACAATCTTCTCTACCTATAAAATTGCCAAACAAATCTACGGTGACTTTTTCTGCAGATTTGGAATTCCATTTTCATTGTATCCACGTTTTTATGCTGGAAACATGGTGGATAAAAATCAAAGCCAGGACGAAATGAGATTAGTCCACGTGGGGATGAAGAGAGTGACAACTGATGACCAGTTGACAGAGTTTCCAACTTGATAACATTGAAACAAAAGAAATTGCATGATAAAAAGTCCCACACAAATTTGCTGAAGAGGGACCAGCAAAAAGATACAGAATTCAATGAACTATGCGTTGTTTAAATCATAAGGCACTTCAAACAGGGATCACGTTTTTTAATTCATCATATATCACCTAGGTACTGTGCTTTATGTTGTTATTATTATTGTTATCATGAAAGCTTGAAAAATTTTTATGATTCCAAACTTATCAAAAATTAGGCTTTGTTTGACTATGTTTGGTACGTACCACTTTCACACGGGCATTTTATTTAAAAACGTCAATTTGTTATTCTCAATTAGTTATTTTATGTATTTTTATTAATTTTTATTAATATTGTATGCATTGTTAAGATAGCCAAAGATTAAAAAATAAAAAAAAATAAAAAAAACAAACATATGGCTTTAACACAATGTAGCACGTTATAGTAATAACAAACGAAATCTTAATTAATTGAGACACTCCTTTGTTAACTCTAATTGACTTTTTTTTGTTTATTTCTCATTTCTTTTTAAATAGAGATGGAAGTGCATAGAGTTCTACGTTACTGATGATTCCTCGGAAGTTTTTTAGAATGAATTTGGAATCATAAATGTGAAATCAAAATTAACAAAATCAAAAGGCTCAACGTCCAATTTCAGTTTGAAATATAGTATCTTCTTATGGATATTGGAAAATAATAGACGGTGCACTTACAAAAGCCTCTTGAAGTCTTATTGGGGAGAATAAGAGATAATGATACCAAATTAACGGGAAATTAATCAAAGAATGACTCTAATATTCCTTTGAAAAAGCAGAATTATTCTAAATTTACGGCTTACCCGAGTTCTCTTCGATATTTCATGTCTACATCGTTTTGTTTCTAGCTTTCTAGGGTTTGATTGTGCCAATTGACCTTTGTAGCTTATCGATAATCTCTTTTTTCTTGAAAGTGAATGCACTAAAAATCGAAGCATTATCATCGCACTCTAATGAGTAGAGAAAAGTGAGGATTACATCCTTCCTGTTGTTTAATCCACCATAAAAAACTATACAACTGTACGAGAAGGATTTGAGGGAAGAAGTCCACTAAAACTAAATGAAAAACATGTTCTAATTCATTGAATAGGAAAATTTAACGTCACAAAACCCCACAAATCCTTTGCTTTAATTTTATGATTAAGGTTAGGAGATAATGCTCATCAATGTGCCCTAAAAGCTTGCCAAATTAAGTTAACACTTTTAGCCCTGTCAATCTTTATAATTTAATTTTGTTTTTCCCTTTTGGAATGTTGAAAGTGCATGGTGGAATGATAGAAGAAGGGAGTGCTCCAACCACAATGGAAATTAAGCTTATATGCATTTCATCAAACCCATACCACTAAGAGCATATTATGAGTTTTTGACTTCAATCCCTAAACAAGTTGTCTATATAAGATTTTGCATTTGCCATTAAGTTTGATTTAAGGGCTGATATAAATTATATATCTTGCATCTTTAAACCTCAACCACAAAGTTTAATAACTTTTTAATAATATAATGTCGATTGTTCCATTTTTCAAGTTTATGCATAATGAATTCTAGAAAGGGATAAGATCGTATAGCAGCAAGCATTTGACTAATTCCGACATGTTTTTTTACCTAAAACATTATTCTAAATGTGAAAATTTCCAAACTAATGACTCAATTTTGAACTGAATGTGTAACATTATCTTTAATTAAAATATTACCCATAAAGGAGTGAATAAATTGACAGAAAACTCTTTTAATTTAACCAGAAGTCTTGGTTTCAAAATTTGAGAATGCAGTTCCATTAAAACTCATGAAGAAGAGTTTTACCGCCCATTGGATCCTATCCTACTCAAATTCGAATTAGTCAGTGGTCCAATGGATTTTCATATACTGGTAGTTATACAAAAATATATATATTAATCCTTATATATAAAAAGTAACTTCAAATGCAACTGCATGAATTTGTGTATGAACTAGAATACAAATAAATATGATATACCAGATAAAATAAATACAATTTTTTTGTATAGTTTTACAACTACAAAAATTATATAAATAAAACAAAATGTCAGAAGTTAGCTTTAAAAAAAAGGAGAAGAAGAAATGTTGATGGCCTGTATTTTGTGGACTAGGTTTTTTTACGTGAACAGATAATTCTTATAAATATATATATTTTTTGAAGATAAGTAATGAAAATAATTTTTATATAAATCTTTATACTTCGTATTAATACATTTTGACTTATAAAAAAATTTATTGGTGGTTAAAAAAAAAAAAAACAAAACAAAATTATCAAACTAAAGTTGTATCCCTAGTTCCCTATCCCTAGACTTCCAATGAGCCGGCATTGAGTAGCCATTGGCCTATGGATCGCATTAGCAGTTTTTATAATAGATGTTATTATACCTTAAAGTTGCCAAACACACCTAACCACCCATTTTGGAGGAACTTGCAATGCCATTAGGGCTGGGCATTTTTCAACCGAACCGATTCTTTACCCGAAAACCGAACCGAAAAAATGAATTCGGTTCGATTTCAACGGTTTTTGGTTTTATTTTTTCGGTTTCGGTATTAACCGAATATATTTCGGTTCGGTTTCGGTTGAATTTCTTAAAAACCAAAAACCGAAAATAAAACCGAAATTAGAATAAAATAGATAAAATATATTAAAATATGATAAAATATAACAAAATATG